CTTCTCGAAGTTTTTTCTGGGTTTCCTATGGAAAAACAGGCGTCGGGCTCAGTTTATCCGGGCTGTTTCTCTTTTGCTGGAGCTTTGTCCTGGTGTAGGAAAGTCTGTGAGGTCCACATCGACGCTGCCTCACCTGCGAGCCCTGTGGAACTGTGCAGGCTCCCTGCTCCTCCTCAGCCTGTGCCTGGCGGCAGAGGCTTTTTCCTGGGCAGGACTGAAGACAGGCTGTTTCCCAGTTGTTCTTTCTGTAATAAACGAGAGAGAGCTTCTGTTGCTTCAATGATTAGATTAGGTAAAATGCTTATGTCTAGAAAATGAGGCTTTGTACCTGTTGAATTTTCTGGTGTGATATGTATTGCTTACAGTGCAAGGGAGTTCTTCGTTCTCCTTTTCTCTGAATTTAGCAGCAGCTTGCTCCTAGCTAGGATTTCAGTGAATCTCTTTTAAACCCAAGAGAAAAAAAATACTTGTTGTTAAATATCAGATAGCAAATGTTTGAGGTACTGATCAAAGAGAGTATATTATCCTGTGAAGCTTGATAGAAAAACAGAACCTGCAGATATCTCATGAAAACTCCATGTTGTTCAGAATATGACCAGGACTTTTTTTTTGGTGATTACAAAAGTGAATATCAGTATTGATCTAATATCCTGAATTCTAGTTTGAAAGAAACCTATTTATTTATGTTAACTTGTAGACAGATTTTTTTAAACTTATTTTACTTTGCATTGTTTTTAAAACTAAAAACGTGGTATTTCATTACCTATTTCAAATTTTCAGAAATTCATATGGGATTTATTTGCACGTCCTGGCTGAGTGGGGGGATACTGGTAGCTAGGCTGAAGAGAAAGAAAAAATATTTGCATAAGCAGTTAAGTTTTAAAGCTCTTGAAAAGTCTTAGTCCTATTTCTGGTGACCAACTGTGTAGACAGTTGTGGTGGTTTCCTTGCTACAAGTTGCTTTTCCCAGAAAGTAACAAATAATGGTTAACTACACAGACAAGTTTCACTGCTCTTCTGTAGGAATCAGAGAAACTGATATGCCAGCTTAACTCTACTGGTGCTTAGGGGAGCTTGAATTAGGCCCAGAAATGAACAAAAGACAGAAAGGCAGCAAATGGAGAGAAAGGTTTATTATGTGCATTGAGGTAGCTTCATGGTCAAGAAGGAGCTCTGCTTGGAGCAGCAGCAGTAGCCTCCTAACAGCTCTGTGTCCTTACGTCTTGTGATAGGTGTCTTCTAGAATTTGGATTTGTTTGGGTTTTGTTTTTTTTGTTTGAAGTAAGTTAGTAAACCTTCATTCAGCCCAGTGGCTTCTGAACTTTTGGTAGGATCAGACTGTGATCAGTTAACATTTCTTGTGAACCGCCGTGGAACTATATGTGACTAATCTTTAAACTGAAGACGCTGTAAGAATGAGACTAGTTCTGCAAGCTGTGCTCGATAGCTTTGACACCACAGTTTAGGACCTGTTAATTTGTTTAATTGCCAGATTTATGCAGGGACTTAGGAGGAACATTTTCAAAGCTTTCTATATTCAGGTCACTTGACAGGATCTAAACTATGTTTGCAGTGAGTGGTTGTTAGAGGCTTGTTCTTTCATGAAGCAAATCTTGATTTCTGTTTTAGGTGTCCATAGCACAGTTGCTGTAATTGCATCCCTGCTGCCAGTCTGGAGAGAGTAATGGAAGTCCAAACAGCAGTGGTGGCATTCTGTCCCTGCTAGAATTAGAAGTAGTCCCAGTAGACATTTAACACTCTGGCTCCTTGAGCAGCGAAGCTGGCAGAAGTCAGCAGTGCTGCCCTGCACAAGGGTCAGCCAGGCGGTGAATTGGTCTGAGGAACTGAGCCAGCTTAAAAGTAACCCACAGAGGAGAAAAAAAAATTAATCATTTTAATCCAGGTTAGTTTCCAGATAATAATTATATGAATACCCCTGCTGGCACATGAAGAAGGCTAGACGGTCTGAGATTAGGTATTTTGTGTGTTTTACTCTATTGGCTGATATGTGGCCCCTGAAGAGCGATTATAGTATTTGTTTCAAAACCAAAGGAAGGAATCAATCTGACAGAGAAACTTATTTGCTTTGTTTACCCAGCAGAGGCATTGTATGCACAGCTGAGAAGTTTTTAAACAGTGAGCAGCTGGTCATGGGTATTGTAATTTGTGTGACACTCTGCATGCCTAGTCTTGTATTTTTAAAAATTAGTGTTTTCTTTTGTAGATGAAACAGTTCTTTAGTACCTCTATGAAAATTCATGCTTTAAAGCATGAGAGGAAATAAAGGAGTTAAGAATTAATAAAATCCTGGCATCCACAGGTTGAGGGTAAATGGATGAGCTGGAAATAAATTTCTAGTGTTAAAAACAAACAGGTGAAACTTACTCTCTTGCATTATGTAAACATTTTCTCCATTGTTTTTTAAGCTGGAGTTTTATTGTTTTAAAAGGTTCAACTCTGAATAACCATTGAAGCAAAAATATAAGTACTAGACTTTTTGATGTCTGAATCTTAAGATTGTATTTATTTTCTTAAGTAATTGATGCCATTACTAAATATGGGAAATAAGAGAACTCATTTCTTTTGCTCCTTCGGATATTTGTAAATTGAACAAAGTAAGCTACCTTCAGATCAGCTTGCTTTTAGTTCTGTGTTTATTGAGCAGGTTCTTTCTGCGTGGAAAAGGAACGCAAACTGATGCTGAAATGTCAGTTTAGATTTACACTTTTCTCTTTGTGTACAACTGCTTGTCCGTCTGATGCTTTCCCTTTAATGTGCTTGTCCTCCTAGTCAAAAATTGTCTTGAAACCATAATGAGCATGGGGATTTCTTGTGTGTGTGGTTTAAGTGATGAAGCACCAGCTGTGCCTTACTGAGCTTTGGCAGTGCCTGTGGCTTTGTAACACTGTATTTTCCAATTAATAGATAACTGTTCAGTACCTGTTTTCTAAGTTATGCCATTTATTGGCAAGTATTGCTAAAAACTTAAATAGATGACCAGCTGGAGTTCTTATCTAGTGTTCAGTGGATGTCACACTTCAAAGAAATAATAAGTTATTCTGAAGTAAGATAATCTAAAATGTTCATCTCAAAATGAAGTGACAACTGTATCACGTGACACAGATTTCACTTCAGAGCCAAGTCTATGTGGAGGAAGCTTTTGTTTCTACCAGTGCTCTGAATATGTTTAGATACCACCTTATCTAAGACAGCAATGAAACAGTAAGTAAACAACAACTTGCTGAGGAATCCAGTTCTGATGGCTGGAATTGTGAAGCCAACTTTGACCTTCTTAGCAGTTGAAAGACACTATGGCTCTGCCCTTTCCTCTTCAGCAGCAAAACATACCCACACTGATTTCACCTCATGCAGACTAAGTTTTTGGAGGAAAGAAACAGAGATAGAAAGATTCTTTATTCTGCTGTTCTACTGGTGTTTTGGGTCACTTTTCTCTGCATGTTATTCCTGTATTGGTTTTCTCAAGCATCATTATGAAAGTAATGGTTTCAACCTTACTGCTGATAATGGGTTCTGAACAGATTATTGGACACTTTCAGTCTAGGTAATTTCAGAAAAGTAATTGCAAGGAGAGCAGCAGTGGCATTATATCCACAGTATGGAGAAAATAGTCTTACATTTCTGTTGCACTTAATAGATGTTTGGGTAGCTCTTTCAGATTCAGGAAAGCTATGGTTGGGTATTTTATTTCCTCTCCCTTCCCCCAAGTGAGGTTGGCACTTATGCGGTGAGTGTTTCAATGCTGATGGTGGGCCATGAGTAAAGCCACTGTACTTGGAGGGAAAACTGCTTTTTATGGTTTTAATGGAAGTATTTATTCACAAAATATCTGGTTTGATTGAAGTTCTATGCCAGTCTTAAATTTTACAGTTTTGGCCTGTTTGTCCAGTAGGCTGTCTTCCTCGGGCTTTGAGGTGAGCTGTGTGGTTGAGGATGGGGTCTGGACAGTGTGGAAGAGCCCTGTCCTGCTTGGAGATGGGTCTGGCAGGTCCCAGGTCTGGCAGTGGAATCCTTGGTCTGCTGTGAAACTGAGGAAAAGGTCCATTTCTCAGAGCAGTTGAAGTTATTAGGGAGCAGGTTTTGTTTTGAAAATGGGACAGGTATAGCTTCCCATGCAAAATCTTCTAGGAACAGCATAAAGGGGTGAATGTGTTTGTGAGGGAAGGGGAATTATGTTTGCACACGGAGCCAAGCTGAAACTATGTTTTTTTTGTTTGGCCTTGTTTTGGGGGATTGGTGTTTTCAAACTGTTACATAGAACAGGTTCCTTTTTAGACTTAAAAGGCATCTCTTTCGATCAAGCTGTTTTGAAGCTGAGATTGAACTTGATGCTGTTGTGCTGCTGTGTAGTGGTCAGGCTTCAATCTGGAAGTTCATTGTGACTTTGTAGTTCACTTTAGTTTTGCTAGTTTTGTGTGGAGTTAGTTTCTAGTCATTCCTTTTACCTTTCGACACCTTTTTGAACCTCTTGCTCTGTAGACTTCACAGAATTTGTGTATTCTGACTTTTTCACTGTGCTTTCTGTAGTGATGAAAATTCTGTTCTGTTACACCTGAAGAGCATGCAATACTATTTTTTTCATTTGTGGTTCAGATATGTTCCTCTAGCTATCCCAAATAAGGTTGGTGGTTCCTTTAATAGTCTGAAAAAATGTCTGAGATGTGGAAGAATGTGTTCGTACAGTTTCCTAAGTCTTGCTTCTCGTACACTTTACAACCTATCCAGCTCTTATTTTGGCTGTTTTTTATAATTTATTCAGTAAAGAGGCTACAAAAACATACATGTCTCACTCGTGTTTGTTAACACGATTTATAAGTAGCCTGATAATAATATTACTGCTTCCTTTTTGAACTGTCATCTGGAAAGAAAAGAACTGTGCTAAAAAAGTGTGTGTATGAGACAGCAATGGATAGGTTAAATATTAACATCTTTGTTTCATGATTTTACAGGA